TCTACATAAGAGAGGTTATTTTGGTAACTTCTTGTTTCAATTAAACAATTAGAGTGAGAGACAACCTTAATACATTAGTATCATAATATTTAAATTAAATAATTAATTAACTACCAAATTAAATTTAAATTAAATTAAATTAAATTAAATTTTCATAGCTTAAATAGTGCCTCATTTCTTAATTAGTTAAATTAAGCATACTAAAATTGGGCCCAAAACCAAATAGAGTTAAGTGGGCTGTGCCCTAACTCAAATTGTCTACAGCCTTCTTCTTTTACCCGACGAAAAAGAAGAACAGTAGAATGAACGCAAGGTTCATTTGAGAACGAACACGGGGTTCGTGAAGTGAGCAAGAGACTTGCCTGAGGATGAACGCGGGGTTCGACATGAGATCGAACGCGATGTTCGAATTGAGAACGAACGTGAGGTTCGACTTGAGAACGAACGCGAGGTTCGACTTGAGAACGAACGTGAGGTTCGACTTGAGAACGAACGCAGGTTCGACTTGAGAACGAACGCAGGATTCGTTTAAAGCTTTCAAGCCTCGCCAAAAAATTAAGGTAACCACCTCCTTAATTTCCGCACGTTTTCACGCGCACAAACTCCTTGAGGTTTTAATCTGAAACCGCCGCCGCCATTGTTCCCGCACCCAAAGGTCAAAACCTTAGGGTTTCCTGACGTCGCCATCACCGTCGGAGTCGAGAGCGAGGCCGCCAGCGACACTTCGCCGGCGAGGAGCACGGGGACCGACGACCAAACAAAAATAGATCCAAAAAATTCCTCGATTTTATTTCAAAACTAGATCTAGAATCGGAAAAACAAAGGATGACTTCTTGATCCAGATCCCAAAAAAGTCAAAGAAAAAACCAAAAATTTTTAAAACTTTACTGTTCAAGGAACTTTACTGTTCACGAAATTTTACTGTTCATCCGTGAACAGTTCTGAGAAAAACCAGAGATTTAAGATAAAAAAACCCAATTTTAAAACTTAAACCCCTAAGTATTAATCACGGGTGGCTCTGATACCATTTGTTAGATCTGAATATCTGAGATCTAATCCATAAAACCATGATTAATTCAAAGAGAATAAACAACAACAATGAGAGTGGAAGCTTATACCTAAATGCATTGTTTGGATTTGCACGGATCTGAATTAGGGTTTGATCTTCTAATCTTGAGGGTCTCTCCTTTAGAATCTCTTTAGATGGGGATTAAAAGAATAGAGAATGTAACCCTAGATTAGGGACCATAACCCCTTATTTATAGTTGTTGTACTTTTATAATTTGGTCCCCCATTAAATTATAATTACAACCTGGTATCCGCAAATTTAGCCCATGACATATTTAAATACTCATTGACCCAATTATCTGATTGATCACTTTATGTGTGTCAACTAAAAGATAACAACACACACTGATATAACATATGTGCCCACAAATAGATTTAATTAGATTTAAATCCAACAACGAAACCCCACTGAATAATAAACTTTTTTCACCCTACCTATAATTGGCAAATAATTAAATTTTTTTCTTTGGAGAAAAGCTATAGTGTCTCCGACTGGCAAATGACTAAGGACCAGCTTGGTAGTGATAGAGCTTATTATAAGTTGTTTATATAAGCAACTTATAGAACCAACTTATATAAGCTGTTAAAAATAACCGCTTATGTAATCATATATCATAAGCCGCTTTCCAAAAGAAGCCAAGACGTTTGGTAAAATTGTGCTTAAAAACACAATAAGTGAAAATGATCAGATCGTAACTTTAGATGCCTATTTATGGTAGTAAAAAATATTTCTTTAGGACCAACCTAAAGGGTGTATGTGGTAATATTGTTAGAAGGCCATGTTATACACAGTATAAAAACTACAGAAAACATAAACTATTTTATAAAGTATCCTAAAATTGTTTCTTAAAGTGGACACTTAGTGGCTTGTTTGGATAGAGGGGCATATGTGAGAAGGGAAGATATAGAAACCTATTCACTCGCTTCGGACAGTTTTTAGAGTAAAAGTGTTCTCTGTCATTCTTCATTCCCCCCAAGTTGGGGTGGAATCTAAGGGAGGGTAATTCCCTTACGTTCCATTATGTTCTCTCCCTTATATGCCCTTAACTTTCCATACTTCTAGCAAAATCCAAACATGCCCTAAAACCAGCAATTGTTATAATAAGCAGGAAAAAATGAATATTTATCAAATATCATTATCGACTTATTCTTAAAAAAATTATAAGTAAAAGGAATCTAAAAGAGAAATACCAATCTAAGCCTACATTAGAGAAAAAAAGAATTCTCTTTAAAATATTTTAGTTATTTATCAATTACACGTGGAGTCCCGGATTTCAAGTTCAAGAAGGAAATGCTGCGTGTCGTACGTGATCACTTCGGTGCATTGCGCACGCCACTCATTTACTTTCTTCGGAATGTCAATATCAAGTCAAAATAGAACAATTTTCTCTAGAAAAAAAAGTTTAAATAGAACAATGACATGTCACTTTCAACGAGTATACAGCTACACTTTTCACTCTTGGCAACTAGATGAATGTTAGAGATTCGAAGCAATCAATCGAACTCGTGCCCTTTCGGATCTTGTGCTAAGAGTTTAGCAAATAACTCGTACCCTTCCGGATCTTGTGCTAAGAGTTTAGCAAATAGGAAAATCAACGCAAAAAAAAAAAATTACAGGAAAGATATACTGAAAAAACACACCAGATTTAACGAGGTTCGGTAACGTGTCTACGTCCTCGGGAGCCACACCACACAATTCTTTGATTAATTGAAGAAGATTATAATGTCCACAAATAGTTTTTTATCTCTCTGAGATCTCTCTTAAAGAATCATCTCAAAACCCTCTTTTTCTCGTGTTCTACAAACCCTAAACTTATTAGGTATATATAGTATCCCAACCCAAAACATAATCTCAATCGAATCAGGAAACTAAAAATCCCGACATCGGTCGACCGACCAGAGTGTCAATTTTACAGGGTCTGCTCGTGCACATTTTCGGTCGACCGGAGTCCTCGTGTCGGTCGACCGGCCAGAGCTCTATTCTAGGGTTGGATTTCTACACGGTTTTCAGTTGACTGGACCATTCCCGTCGGTCGACCGGCCAGAGCGAGCTTCTTACGCTCGTTTCCTACAGGCGTGGCGGTCGACCGGACTAGGTTTTTCCAGTTTTCTTCATTGATTTGATTCCAGGCTTGGGTCTCGACGCCCAAGACCAACAATGAATGGGAACAAGGGAAAACTTTTCCTAAAAATCTTTTGAAATTTTTGAATCCATTAAAAGCCTCGACCTTTCACTTCATTAAAGAAAAGTGTTCACATTGAAGCCATCAACTATCAAACTGGTTGTGTAGGAAATTGGATATTCATACAAGTGAATGAATGCTGGCATTATGACAACCAGCAGAATGTAGCTGTGGGGATAGTCCTCTAACTGTTGACACTAATAAATGCGTAGCATCTTTCATCAATGAGAAACATCTTTTCAATTATATTTTTAGATGGTCGACATTATGAGCGAACCTCATGTGCAACAAGGCCCTAAAAAAAATTCCATAATTTTAGAACAGGCTAAATGAATCATACTCTTTTACATAGTTCTTTTGAGGGTGATTTCATGACTCCTTCCCCAAGTCGTTAACATGTACTTCTCTTAATAGTTTCTAACGAGATTATTTTAGGTCTATCTCTACTCTTCTTTCTTCATTAATTATACATTTATTACTTCTTTCACGTTACACGTGATCAAACCATCACAAACGAAACGCTTCCATCATTTTTCCCCCCCTCAATAGAAATAAACCTCTTTAACTTTTAATAAGACACGTTTATCATCTCAACTCTTAGTTTAATTCACTTGTTCATCGCAACATTCTAATTTATTTTACACTAAATTTTTTGCACGTATGCTTTTAGCTGACCAACATTTTCATCCTTAAAACGTTACGGAAACAGTTAGAAAAATCAGCGACAAGCAAGATGCTAAACAACGCAAATAGTACCAAATGGGTACCATCTCCAGGTTGTACGTAAGGCTTTGATGCCTTAACGCAGATACTAAAACGTGTTCCCTGATAAATCAGAAGAAATGTCGTTGAGCATTTAAGGCTCCCACCTCAAAAGAGAAAAGCTCTGATTGGTTGTTTGCTCTCTAATTTAGGTTCATTAAATGAATGCTGCTATATTTAGCTGATCAGGTAAAGTATAGCTGAACTATAATTGTCAAAAGTCTTATACGATCAAAAGAATTGTCAAGAGCAATTCATGATTCAATTTTATTACCACACCTAAACACGAAAGGTATCCGATGGTCGGATCCAATCATTTAGGACATTCAAAGCTTTAGCTTTCAGAAAATGTCTTGAAACTTATGTTGAAACTTAAAGGGTTCAGAAGATAGTTCATACGACAGCATGTATGAAGCATCACGGTATTAATTAATTATGCAGACACCTTCTGATGGCCCTCATTACCATATAATATGTACGCGGGTGTGCACTATATATATATATACTATATATATATATATATATATATATATACTATATTTATATATATATAAAGCGACTGAACTTAGTTATTTCTTCAAGTCACATGCTCAATCAAATGGTAGCTTAGAATCCGAATCCAATCTGAATTTCGACTGTTACACATGTTAACCCGCTAAACCAATCAACTATGCGAATCGGGTTTTCATCAGTACGTACGGATACAAATACGAATACACACGAAATCGGATCTGACACGACCGACCCAGAATACCAATCTCACACACCCCATACACCTGTCGATAAACCAAACCCAGACCAATGCGAAAAATGTAGGCAAACTACAAATTCAGTTGCAGAAAGTTCAAAAAGAGTGCAAACTGGACAGTGGACGCATCTGCATCGCTAGGAGGTGCAACTTGCACCACCCCCTCATCCAATGCCCATAAACCTCCCTACCTACTCCTATTAATTCTTCATTAAGTACAACCCCCCAAAACAGACACCTCCCCATCTCTTCAATTCAATGCTCTCTTTCCTCGCTTCCTCGAAAAACTATCCAGTGGTCCCTGTCCACTAAAGAGTCTGTATATTTTCTCCATCTATAAACCCCCCCTACTCTCAACTTTCCTCATCTTCATCCTCTTCATCAAACCAGAATCATGAAGATTTGTGCAAGTATCATCCTCTCTCTCTTTCTCTCCTTCTCTCTCGTTTCTTGTGACCCCGCTTCTTCGCCTTTGCAAGACAAGTGCTCCCCAGAGTTCACAAAGCTAGGGGAGTGCTTGAGCTACGCAGCTGCAAAGACGGACACGCCCTCTAGTACTTGTTGTGCCTCTGTAAGTGATATCAAGCAGAAGGATCCGGTGTGCCTCTGCTACATAATCCAGCAGGCTCATTCTGGGGGTTCATCGGCCACGAGCCTGGGACTGCAGATGGATAGGCTCATCAAGCTCCCCGCTGCATGCAAGCTTGCGAGCGTAAATATCAGTGAATGCCCAAGTGAGTTCTTGATCTGCTATATGTATCTTGTTGGAATTGTAACTTAAAACTTGCTCTTGAAGTGGGAAAGTTTAGTCCACATTGGATAGGAGATGGGAAGGAAGGTTGTTATAAGCATTTCCTTTCTCTCCTATGATTAAAAGCAAATATGGGTTATGCTCCACGCCATACACGCGCGCGTCGAACCGGGCCAGGCTCGGAAGGCGCGCGCCCACGACCTGCGGACACGAATACAGCTCCGGATTGAGGGGTCCTTAACCTGCTACATCTTGGACTTCTTTTTTTGCAACTGGAACGATTAAATCGTGATAAACATAGAGAGATTATTTGGTAAGCTGCTAACATTGTGGGATCTAAATAAAAACCCATAGCGTCCAGGACTAAATATAGAGAATTACAACAGAGCTTCATTTCCTCTCTTCTCTTCTAAAATTTCTTCTCACTGTTGTTATCGGCTGGTTGTCTAAAAGTCTACGAAGAATTCGCAAAGCCTTCTTGAAGCCCGTGCCGACGAGAAGGAGATCGTCTGACCGAGAGTCGTCGTATCTCCGAGAGTCATTGCCGTGTAGCCTTATACGAGAGGGGGCAATTACATTCTTGAGACAGTGCTTAGCACGCTTCGATCATCAAACTATGTTCTTTAACCCGGTTTAATTTTTGATTTAATCTCTATTCTGAATCATTATCTGAATCTGATCTTTTTCGATCTCAACTACCTATTAAAGTACATTTCATTTTATATATACAACTCATTAGGACAATCATGGTTTAATGTTCAACATCATCATTTATTCAAATATGTATATAAAGGAAATATTTCAATAAGAAATGTGTTCCTTGTTGAAAATTTGCGGTCAAATAAGTCAAAGCCATTAAAAAACCGTCGAGCGCTTTTGTTTATGGTTGGCTTAAAATTATGCCGAAAATTGGTAATCAATAATATTGTGTTATATAGTAGTAGTAGTATTTACATTTTACATTCTTATGAAAAATTCGCATTGCCTTTTCCAACTCATGTTTGGTCTACAATCTAAACATACAACAACAACAACATACATGCCTTTATTCCAAATGTTTGGGGTCGGCTACATGAATCTTATTCTTCTATTCCATTCTATTATGGGACATCTTCTCCGTTAAGCTAAACATACTCATATATTTCTTAATTGCTTCCAACCAAGTTCTTTTAGGTCTATCTCTAGGTCTCATAGCCCCAGTAACTATAATACTATCACTTTTTCCTAACTGGTGCACTAAGAGGTCTCCGTTGTCCATGCCAAATTATCTTAGTCAATTCTTTCTCATTTTATCCTCAATAGGAGCAATCTCTAATTTAACGGATGCACCCATTTCTTATCATATCTTCTAGTGTACACCCACAAGACCATTGCAATATTCTCATGCCTACAATCTAAACATATATACCTTGCAATTTTATGAGTTATATTGTGCAAATTTACAATCGATTGCACTCACATCTAGATGTAATAAAGAAACTATAATTGAATTTCAGATAACTCAGTGTATCATGGGAGCTCTTTATTTTAAAAAAAAATAACTTGATGCATGAGAGCTCAAAGTACATGATGTTTTGAATACGACACTTTTGAACCAAAATGAACTTCAATGGGTTGACAATTTAATTGCAAATCATGTAATTTATAGGTAGCTAATAGATCTTAAAGGTAGGATCCAAATGCTCCTAACCTACCATAGATATGGGTCATATTCTCTTGTGAATGACACGCCATAAAATGGAGATTCCCCCAAAAAATATTATCGTTACTTGGCTAACATCCTAAACCATATCAACGAACTAGTATCAGGCACTCTGTGACATAACGATATTGCAAAAGAAAAATTACCTCCTGATGCGGACACAGAAGCCGTTGGAGCTCCCGTCGGTAGCCTCTCGCTAGATCGCGGAGGAGCGTTTCTCGTAGTCACCAGAGCCGTCCCCGATGCAGCAGAAGAGACGGGCAGCACAACTCCAGACGTCGCCGCTCCGGGGATACCCACCTGGGGATTCTCAACTTATCGCCAAGTTCACCAGACTACGGTATCTTCACCAATGCCACAAAAGGTTAAGCCAAAACTTGTAACCCCTGATAAATAATGAGCACTTGAAGCTCCTACTACCTAATAAATTCTCATTCTGAAATTTTCGTTGCAGCTGCTACGACACCAGCAGTGCCTTCAGGATCTTCTGCTGCCAGCAGCAGTACTGGCAGTGGCAGCAGTTCTGGCGGCATCATGAATAAGATCAACCTCGCAGGCATCTTTGCAGCGACCATGATCTCTGCTCTCTGCTCTGCCATTTTCTAAATAGAAGCTTGAATTAGTAGCCGATGTTGTATTTGTTTTCAGTTAAATATTCTCCATGTGCTAGATTTAATGTTTTGTGTAAGATGAAGACCTTGTTGAGAGCTTAGTTTTTGTGAGTTTCAATAACTTGACTCAAAGTTTCTTTTTTTATTGCGANAGCCTATTTTTGCATGATCAAAGACCTTTTTTTTACGGTTAACCCATACAAGAAACACATGACCATTCCCTGTTTGATTCATTTGTTATACTTGATTAATTCTATACAAAATGCTATATGAAGTTCAGTGGTGAAAAAGAGGCGTGAAACCAACAATAGCAGAATAAGGAGCCTGCTCATAATGACATT